TTGGAAAGAATTGATACCATTGAAACCATAGTAGCATCCCTGGACGCCGTAAAAGAAAGAATATCCAACCTTGAAAAAAAAGAAACAACGCAAAAACCTGAACTTCCAATAGCTACAAACCACATCTCTACCCAACAACCACAACCCAATCCAAAACCCAATCCACAAATAAACACAACCCAGACAAATATTGATATCCCAATCCTCATCAGAGAAGCTGTTGAGCGTGAACGGAAACGTCCAAACGCCATCTTATTTGGTCTAGAGGTCACCAATAACAATGATGACATCACAACTGTCCGAAACATCATCAGGGATTATCATGCATCAACCATCTCCGCTGATGAAATACTTGACATTTCACGCATTGGCCGAGAGCTCAATAACAGTGACGGCTCTGTAGCCCCACGCCTGTGCAGAGTCATTTGCAAAAATGAATCAAGCAAATGTAAATTCATTTATACTATAAACTCACTCGCCAAAACCAACACCAACCATAAGAACCTCCATTGCCGCCCTGACCTAACCATACAGCAACGTGCCCGCTCCCGTGTACTCCGCATTGAACTCAAAAACCGTCTAGACAATGGAGAGAAGGACCTGTACATTGACTACCATGCTGACTGTATCAAAAGTAAGCCACGCAACCCAATACTCAGCTTTTACCCTCAACCACAACCCTACCTCAACCGATCCACCATCACCCAAGACTAGGCACGCACGCCCCCAACTACCTCAATTCCAACTACTGCCGGCCTTAAATGCAAACTACTCAATGCAAGAAGCCTCGTGAATAAAATACCTGAATTTCTCATCCTCCTAAATATGGCTAACTTTGACATTATATTTGTCTGTGAAACATGGCTCAATGCATCTCTCCCCGACTCCATTACCACAGTAAGAGACTATCATGTTTACCGATCAGATCGTGAAAATCGTCGAGGAGGTGGTGTTGCTATCTTCTATAAAAAATCCTTACATCTAAAAAATATCCAAGTTACCCAGGAGCTTGCTCTTCCTGAGACCATCATCTGTGAACTATCCTTAAATATCACAATTCGATTCTTACTAAGTTACAGAGCACCTGATTATGACATCGAACATGTAAACAAGCTAAATACATTACTAACATAGTCTGCATCCTGCCCATACCCTTTTATCTTTCTTGGTGATTTCAATCTACCTCATATTGACTGGACCCTAAATGATTGTACAACTGAAATCATACACACAACCTTCTACAATGCTATTACAAATCTGGGACTGGAACAACTAGTAACCAACAACACTAGACTAAACAACTGCCTCGATCTCATCTTCTGCAATAGTTTGAATTTAATTTACGGAATACAAACTAAAGAACCCTTTTCCAGTAGTGACCACAATATGATTGACTTTTGTCTCTGTGGTAATATATTTTATTAATCATTTTATCATTTTCTGTAAGGCCT